ACGATTGTGCTACGTTTGTGCATCTCATGGTCCACTCCAACAGCACTGATTGCTGCAGAGATTACCCTTCCCCTGTTCAATTGCCTTGGTAGCTTTTCCAAATTAAATTGACCATATGTACACATATTTATTTCTGGAATACATTCTATTTCATTGAACCTACTGTCTAGCTTTATGGTAATACCACACGCTTTTCATTAATATACCCGTGTGTTAACTATTGAAATAAGTTAAGGTGAGTCTAACTCTTAACTTTTTTTTCAAATTTATATTAGTAGTTACTTGTTCTTTGCCTTTCCACATCAATTTTAGAAGCACTTACCATTTTTTTCTTAAAAATTGCTGAGATTATGATCAGGATTGCCCTGAATCTATAGATCTCTCCTTTCATTTGGCTTTTTAAATTTTCCTTCCCATTATTTGTTTTTATCTTACACTTACACTTTACACTTCATGATTAGATATATCAATAGCTTTCATGATCTTAATATTTTAAGTGATATCTTTAATTTCAATTACTAATTTTGGGGAAAATGTCAAAATACAAGTAATTTATTTGTATTAACATCATATCTCATAATATTATCAACCTCATTATTTGTAGTACATGTTTTGAAAGTTCCATGATATGTTTTATGTATATAATAATGTCATCTATGAATAAAGATTTTTTCCAGTCTTTATGCTACTTATTTCTCTCTATGAAACTGGTTAAGACTTGCAATATAATGTATACTGAATATAAATGATGAGAGAGGACAACTTTGTCTTATTCCTAATCTGGAGGGCAAAACATTCAATCATTTACAAAGTTTTCTTTTTATTATGCTTTCTTTTCTTTTTTGTTCCCCCAATCACTTTAGGTGTTTTTTTTTTAATTTTTCAAATATTTAATACCCCCTTCACCCATTTTCCCCAACCCCCATTCATTACCACTGACAACCACCAATCTGTTCTTTGTATCTACGAACTTGGTTTTTTTGTTTGTTTGCTGGGATTTTGTTTTGTTTTGTTTTTAAGGTTCCACATATATGTGAGATTGTATGGTATTTGTCCTTCTCTGATTGCCTAATTTTACTTAGCATAATGCCCTCGAGATCCAGCCATTTGTTGCAAGTGGCAAGATTTCATTTGTTTTTCTGGCTGAATAATATTCTGTTGTGTGTATATATCATGATTTCTTTAACCATTAATCCATCAATGGACACTCAGGTTATTTTCATATCTTCACTATTGTAAAATAATTCCTCGAAGAAAAATGGGGTGCATGTATCTTTTTGAGTTAGTGTTCTTGTTTTTTTCGTATAAATACCCAGGAGCGGAATTGCTAGATCATATGATAGTTGTATTTTCAATTTTTTGAGAAACTCCGTACAATTTTCCCCAGTGGCTGCACTAATTTACATTCCAACCAACAGTGCACAAATGTTCCCTGTCTCAGTATCCTCACCAACATTTATTATTTCTTATCTTTTTGATATTAGCCATTCTAACAGGTGTGAAGTGATATCTCATTGTGGTTTTGATTTACACTTCCCTGATGATTAATGATATTGAGCATCTTTTCATATGTCTGTTAGTTATCTATAAGTATTCTTGGAAAAATATCTATTCAGATCTTCTGCCCATTTTTAAATTGGATTGTTCGGTTTTTTGCTCTTGAGTTGTATGAGTTCCTTATATATTTTGGATATTAACCCTCTATCAGATGTATGATTTGCACATATCTTCTCCCATTCAGTACATGGCCTTTTCCTTCTGCTGATGGTTTCCTTTGTTGTGCAGAAATTTTTTAGTTTGATGTAATTCCACTCTATTTCTGTTGTTGTTGCCTTCGCTTTTGGTGTCATATTAAAAATCTTTACCAAGCTCTGTGTATGAGATTAAAAATGGGCAAAAGACCTTAATAGACCTCACCAAAGAAGATACACAGATAGCAAATAAGCATATGAAAAGATGTTCAACATCCTATGTCATTAGGAAGTTGCAATTAGGGGCGCCTGGGTGGCTCAGTTGGTTGGGCGACTGCCTTCGGCTCGGGTCATGATCCTGGAGTCCCGGGATCGAGTCCCGCATCGGGCTCCCTGCTCGGCGGGGAGTCTGCTTCTCCCTCTGACCCTCCTCCCTCTCGTGCTCTCTGTATCTCATTCTCTCTGTCTCAAATAAATAAATAAAATCTTTAAAAAAAAAAAAGGAAGTTGCAATTAAAAGAACAATGAGATCACCATCACACACCTATCAGAATGGCCAAAATCCAAATCAGTAAAGATTACTGAGTATGTTTTCTTCAAGGAGTTTTTTGATTTCGGGTCTTACATTAAATCTTTATTCCATTTAATGTTAATTTCTGTGTATGGTGTAAGATTGTGGTTTGGTTTCATTCTTTTGCATGTGGCTGTCCAGTTTTCCCAACACTATATATGAAGAGACTGTCCTTTTCCTTTTGTATATTCCTGGCTGCTTTGTCTTAAATTAATTGACCATATATGTGTGGGTTTATTTCTGGGATCTCTATTCTGTTCCATTTCTCTGTGAGTCTGTTTTTATGCCAATATCATACTATTTTGACTACTATAGCTTTGTGATACAGTTTCAAGAAAAGGAGTGTTATGCCTTCAGCTTCGTTTTTCTTCCTCTAGATTGCTTAGGCTGTTTGAGATCTTCTGTGGTTTCATACAAATTTGGGGATTGTTTGTCATCTCTCTTTGAAGAATGCCATTGGACGCATGTAAAACTCCCCCCTGGGAGACACAAGTGCTCTGGAGAATGGCAGAGGGGCAGTGAGATCGTGTCTGCCCCCTGAGGTTTCTGAAAGGGAGTAGAGTCAGCCTTGGATGAGTGTTTCATGAAGAGCCTGCCTCTCATGTCACAGCCGTGATGATTAGCTAATAAGCTTCTTTCACAGAAGGATTGAGCTTCTGGGTGTGTTGCCTCATGCTGTGCCCTAGGGGTGGTGACTGTTTAAGAAATCTTTGGTGGTGACAGTCCTGCGGGACCCATGGGTTTAAGCCCCACCACACCTGGGCCTGGAGATGTGAGGTGACCCAGGCCGCAGCCGCACAGTTTGGTGGGCCAGCAATGGTGTGAGCTCCTTGCTGGGTGGCACCAATTCTTACATCCCCATGGGACCAGGAACACAAGCTTCTCTGGTCTGCAGAGCCATTGATCAGGAGGGATCCCCTGTGTGGCAGCTGTAAAAATTAGGGCACTCGATGCATATAAAAGTTCCATCCTGGGAGATGCTGGTGCTCTGGAGCACTGTATAGGGAGAAGGCAGCGGTGGTGTCTATCCGTCTCCATTCCCAGAGAGTTCCAGCCCGCTCCTAGATGTGTGTGCTCAATTAGGTAGGTGCCTGTCCATCAGGACGGTGCTTTAATATAAGTAGGTGAGCCTCCTTCACTTGAAGTCTGGGTGCCATCGACTGCCTCTGTGCTGCGCCCTGGGGTGGGTGAATCCAAGCACAAGAGCCTTTTCTGAAGAGCCATTTCTCAGATCACCAGATTCGTGGGTCTCAGGACACAGTCCCCCATTGATTTTCAAAGTTCTGTGTATCAAGGGCTCATCTCTCTGGTGCAGATCTTAAAAGTCAGAGTTCCTCATGTAAGATTTGAACTGTTTGCTTCACAGGGAGAAGCTCTAGGTTTTGAGTTCCCTCACACTTGAGGGTCACCAAAGTGTTGGTGGGATTTATGACCAGATTGTGTCCCAGCCTCTCCTCCCTGCTTTGATGTGGTTTTCTTCTCTTTGCACCATTTGTGTTCATCACTCAGCCAGCCCTGAGGTTTTTTTAAGAGGATATTGTTCAATATGTAGCTGTAGACTCAGTGTGTCCTTAGGAGGAGGTGAGCAGGATCTTCCTACCGCACTGTCTTGAACCGGAACCCATGAAGTACTATGTTCCTCTAGGTTTTTCATACCTGTCCTTTATCAGGTTAAGGAAGTTCCCCTACCTCGTTTTGTTTTTTGTTTTTTTTTTTTAAAGATTTTATTTATTTATTTGACAGAGAGAGAGAGACAGCAAGAGAGGGAACACAAGCAGGGGGAGTGGGGGAGGGAGAAGCAGGCTCCCCGCTGAGCAGGGAGCCCAATGCGGGGCTCGATCCCAGGACGCTGGGACCATGATCTGAGCCGAAGGCAGATGCTTAACGACTGAACCACCCAGGCGCCCCGCCCTCCGTTTTTAATTTAATCAATAGGTGTTAAATTTTTCAAACTCTTTCTTTATAGTGACATCATCTTACAGTTTTTCTTTTTCAGTTAATATTGTGAACTCTATTTCTTTTGGAATCTTAACCTTGCATTCCTAGGATGAATCCCACTTGGTCATGATGTATCATCCTTTTTACCTATTCCTAGATTTACTTAATAACGTTTTCTTAAAAATTACATATTTGTAAAATATTTTTTTAAAGAGATTTCTTTTCTCATAGTGTAGTAAAGCTTGCCTCATGAAATGTGTTCTTCTGTTTTCTAGAAGAGCTTGTGTGTGTTCACTATCACTTGGTACTTAGTTATGTGGTAGTTTTTATCATAGAAAACCTCATGTTTTCTTTGCATTTCCACCAGCAGTATCTGAGAGTTCTTGTTGCTCCACATCCATACCAGCATTTGGTGTTGCCAGTGTTTTGGATTTTGGCCATTCTGATAGGTGTGTGATGGTGATCTCATTGTTCTTTTAATTGCAACTTCCTAATGACATAGGATGTTGAACATCTTTTCATATGCTTATTTGCTATCTGTGTATCTTCTTTGGTGAGGTCTATTAAGGTCTTTTGCCCATTTTTAAATAGGGTTGGTTGTTCTCTTACTGTTGAGTTTTAAGAGTTCTTTGTATATTTTGGATAATAGCCACATATCAGATGTATCTTTTGCAAGTATTTTTCTCTCAATCTATGGCTTATCTTATTCTGTTAATCTTGTCTTTTGCAGACCAGACATACTTAATTGTAATGAAGTCCAATTTATCTTTTTCTTCTTTTTCTTTCTTTTTTTTTTGCAGATTGTTCCATTATGTTGTATCTAAAAAGTCATCACCACACCCAAGGTCAGTTGGGGTTTCTTCTCTGTTACCTTCTAGTTTTATAGCTTTTCCTTTTACATTAGGGTCTAATCCATCTTGAATAAATTTTCTTTTCATTTTGAATAAAGTTTTGTGAAGGATGTATGCATGTCTGTGTCTAGATTCACTTTTTTGCATGTGGGCATCCAGTTGTTCCAGCACCAGTTTTTGAAAAGACTATCTTCACTATATTGTCTTTGCGCCTTTGTCAAAGATCAGTTGACTGTGTGTTTGTGGGTCTATTTTTGGGCTCTTTATATTGTTCTGTTGATCTGTTTGTCCCACTGCTCCCCGTATCACATTGTTGAGATTACTGTAAGGTTATATTAAGTCTTAAAGTTGGGTAGTGTCAGTCTGACCTTTTTCTTCTTCAGTTTTATGTTGGGTATCCTGCGTCTTTTGCGTCTCCATATAAGCAGGTTCACTTAGTAGATATCCATAACTTGCTGAGATTTTGACTGGAATTGCATTGAATCTATAGATCAAATTGTGAAGAACTGACATCTTGACAAGATTAGTCTTCTTAACCATGAACATGGAATAGTTCTCCATTTATTTAGTTCTTTATTACCTTTCATCAGAGTTTTACAGAATTTTTCTCTCATAGTTCTTGGGCATATTTTGTTAGACTTATACTTAATTATTTCATTTTGGGGATGCCAGGTAAATGACATTATGTTTTTAATTTTAAATTCCATTTGTTCATTACTGGTATATAGGAAAGCAATTAATTTTTTTTGTATATTAATCTCATATCCTGCAATTTTGCTATAATTGCCTATTTGTTCCAGTCTTTTTGTCTGTTTGGATTTTCTGCATAAATGATCATGTCATCTGTGAGCAAAAACAGTTTTTTTCTTTCTTCCCAATCTGTATGCCCTGTATGTCCGTTGTCTTATTACATTACTAAAACTTCCAGTATAATGTCGAAAAACAGTGGTGAGAAAAGACATTTTGCCTTATTTCTGCTCTTACAGGAAAATTTCAAGTTTCTCACTGTTAAGTGTGATGTTAGCTATCAGTTAAGATAGATATTTTTTATCAAGTTGAGAAAGTTCCCTTTTTTCCTATTTTACTGAGAGTGTTTGTCATGAATTGTTGAATTTTATCAAATGCTTTTTCTGCATCTGTTGCTATGACTGTGTGAATTTTTTTCTTTACTTTCTTAGTGTGATAGATTACATTAATTGATTTTTGAATGTTGAACCAACCTTGCATACCTAGGATAATACCACTTGGTCATGGTGTGTAATTTTTTTATATACACTGTGAATTTTGATTTGCTCATATATATTTTTAAAGATTTTATTTATTTATCGGACAGAGAGAGGGCACACAAGCAGGCAGAGCAGCAGGCAGAGGGAGATGACTGAACCACCCAAGGGCCCCAGATTTGCTCATATTTTGCTAAGGATTTTTGCATGTATGTTAATGAGCGATACTATTGCTTTGTTATCTTTTCTTATACTGTCTTTTTCTGGTTTGGGTATTAGGGGATGCTGTTCTCATAGAGTGAGTTAGGGAGTATTACCTCTGCTTCTGTCTTCTGGAAGAGATTGTAGAGAATTGGTATAATTTCCTTCTTAAATGTTTGGTAGAATTCACTGGTGAACCCATCTGGGCATGATGACTTCTGTTTTGAAAGGTGGTTATTTCTTGATTGAATTTCTTTCATACATATAGGCCTATTGGTACTCTTTTCTTCCTGTGTGAGATTTGGCATATGCTATCTTTCAAGGAATCATCTAGATTATAGAATTTGTGGGCACAGAGTTGTTGATAGTATTCTTTTTTTATATTTTAATATCCACAAGATCTGTTGTGATGTCCCCTCTTTCATTCTGATTAAACAGATAATCTTCTCTCTCCTTTTCATCTGGCCTGGTTAGAGGCTTGTTGATTATATTGATCTTTTCAAAGATTCAACTTTTGGTTTCATCAATTTTGTACATTAATTTCCTGTTTTCAATTTCATTGATTTCTGCTCTAATTTTTAAATTTATTTTCTCTTTACTTTGGATTTAATATCTTCATCTTTTTCTAGTTTCCTATAGTATAATCTGAGATTATTGATTTTAGATCTTCTTTTTAATTTCTGCATTCACTGCTATAAATTTCCCTCTAAGTAGGTAGTGCTTTGACTTATCCCACGATTTTGAATAATCTGTATTTTCATTTCAGTGAAAATATTTCCTAATTTGTCTTAAGATTTTCTTCTTTGGCCATGTGTTATTTAGAAGTGTGTGTTTAGTTTCCAAGTACTTTGTTTTTTTTCCATTTGTCCTTTTGTTGAGTTCTAGTTGAATTCCATTATGTTCTGAGAGCATACATTATATGATTTCTATTTATGTAAGTATTTGTTAAGGTGTGCTTTATTGCCCAGAGTGTGGTCTGTCTTAGAGAATGTTCCATATAAACTTGAGAAGAATGTGTAATTTGCTGTTGTTGGATCAAGTAGTCTATAGATGTCATTTATATCCAATTGATTGATGGTGCTCTTGGATTCAGCTGTGCCCCTGTTGATTTTCTACCTGGTGGGTCCATCCATTTGTGATAAAGGGGTGTTGAAATCCCCAACTATGATAAATAAATAATAGATCTATTTTCTCATTACAGTTCTATCAGTGTTTGTCTTATGTATTTTGACATTCAGTTATTTGGCACATACATGTTAAAATTGTTGCATGTTTTTGGACAATTAACCCCTTTATCATTACATAATTCCCCTCTTTATCCTTGATAAATTTCCTTGTTCTGAAAGTTAATATTACTGCTCCCTTTTTTTTTGATTAGTGTTAGTGTAGTGTATCTTTATCCACCTCTGTACTTTTAATCTATATGTGTCTGTATATTTAAAGTGGGTTTCTTGAAGGCAACATATGTTTGGGTCTTGTTTTTTGATTCATCTTGACAATCTGTCTTTTAATTAATATATTTAGACCATTGACATTCAAAGTGATTTTTTATGTAGTTGGAGCAATACCTACCACGTTTGCTGCTGTTTTCTATTTTTTGCCCTTGTCCTTTGTTTCTGTTTTTGTTTTAAAAGTAATCCAAGTCTGCTTCAAATAACATTCTACGGTTTCTCAGCTAGTATAGGTAGGTACCTTAACAAAATATTCCTAATTCTTCTCTTCCACTCCTTTTAACATGACTGTCATTAATTTTACTTATATGCATACAGGCATACATAATAGTGTATATATATATATATATATATTTAAAGATTTTATCTATTTATTTGAGAGAGAGAGAGAACAAGAGACAAAGAGCATGAGAGGGAGGAGGGTCAGAGGGAGAAGCAGACTCCCTGCCAAGCAGGGAGCCCGATGCGGGACTTGATCCCGGGACTCCAGGATCATGACCTGAGCCGAAGGCAGTCGCTTAACCAACTGAGCCACCCAAGCTCCCCATAATAGTATATATTATTTAGAGCAAACTTTTTCTGTTACATCAATTCAGAGTAAGAAAAATAAAAGCTTTTATTTTACCCTCACTTATACATTCTCCAACATTCTTCCTTTCTTTGTGTAGATCTGAGTTTGAGCTATACCATTTTCCTTTTTTATTTTAAAGATTGTATTCATTTGTTTATTTGAGAGAGAGAGTAAGCGAGTGAGCCCAGAGGGGGAGGGAGAAGCAGACTCCCCACTGAACAGAGAGCCTGATGCAAGGCTTGATCCCAGGTCCCCGGGATCATGACCTGAGCTGAAGGCAGATGTTTAGCCAACTGACTCACCCAGGCACCCCTGTACCATTTTCCTTTTTTATGAGGAACTTCTTTTAACACTTCTTGCAAGGCAGGTCTACTAATAATAAATTGCCTCAATTTCTATTTTTCTTCGAGAAAGTATTTCTTCTTCACTTTTGAAGGATAATTTTGCAAGGTACAGAATTCAAGATTGGTGGATTTTTTTTCTCCCAATACTCTAAATATTTTATTTCACTCTCTTCTTACTACCTGGTTTCTGAGAAAGAAAAACTGGATCTAATTCTTACCTTTGCTCCTCTCTGGGTAAGATTTTTTTTTTCCTTTGGCTTCTTTCAAGATTTTTTCTTGGCATTGCCTGGGTGGCTCAGCTGGTTAAGCATCCAACTCTTGGATTTGGCTCAGGTCTGATCTAAGGGTCATGAGATCAAGCCCTGTGTCAGGCTTCACACTGAGCATGAAGTCTGCTTGAGTTTCTGTCTCTCCCTCTCTCTCTGTCCCTCCACCTCAAATAAATCTTTGAAAAGAAGTTTTTTTCTTGACTTTTGATATTCTGAAGTTTGAATATAATATTCCTAAGTGTAGTTTTGTTTTTTGCATTTGTTCTATTTGGTGTTCTCTGTGCTTCCCAGATCTATGGTTTTGTGTGACATCCATTTGAAGGAAATTCTTAGCTTCAAATATTGCTTTGAATGTTCCCCTCTCTCTTTCTCCTCTTTCTAGTATTCCTATGACATGTATGTTACATTTTTGTAGTTGCCCCACCGTTCTTGGATATTCTAGGGGTTTTTTTCAGTCTTTTTTCTTTGTTTTTCAATTTTGAAAAATTCAATGTCAAATTCTCAAGCGCAAAGATTCCCTCAGCCGTGTGTAGTCTGCTGATATGTTCATCAAAGGCATTCTTCATTTGTTCGTGTTTTTTTATCTCTAGCATTTCTTTTTTTTTTTTTTTTTTTTTTTTAAAGATTTTATTTATTTATTTATTTGAGACAGAGAGAATGAGAGAGAGCATGAGAGGGAGGAGGGTCAGAGGGAGAAGCAGACCCCCTGCCGAGCAGGGAGCCCGATGCGGGACTCGATCCAGGGACTCCAGGATCATGACCTGAGCCGAAGGCAGTCGCTTAACCAACTGAGCCACCCAGGCGCCCTCTAGCATTTCTTTTTGCTTTTTTGTTACACTTTCTAACTCTTCACTTACATTATCCATTTGTTCTTGTGTATTATCTGATGTTCTAAAAAAGCCTGTAGCATATTGATCATAGTTAAAAAAAAAAAAATCCTGGTCTGATAATTCCAGCATTCTTACCATCTCTAACTCTGATTCTGGCGTTTGTTCCATCCTTTCAAACCGCGTTTCTTGCCTTTTGGCATTTCTTGTAATTTTTTGTTGTAAGGTGGATGTGATGTGCTGGGTAAAAAGATCTGCAGTGACAGGCCTTTAGTAATTTAATGGTCAGCTGTAGGGCAAGAGAAATGTTCACAGTCCTGTAATTAGGTCAGTCTTTTGGTGGACGTGTGCCCCTAGACCCTGAACTTCACTAGTGCTTTTAAATTTTTTAAGATGTATAAAGAGCAGGGCACCTGGGTGACTCAGTCGGTTAAGCGTCTGCCTTCAGCTCAGGTCATGATCTCAGGGTCCTGGGATCGAGCCCCACGTCGGGCTTCCTGCTCAGCAGGGAGTCTGCTTCTCCCTCTGCCCCTCCCCCTGCTTGTATGTGTGCATGCGCTCTCTCTCCCTCTCTGACAAATAAATAAAATCTTTAAATAAAAAAAAAAAAAGATGTGTAAAGAGCTAGCTAAGGTGGGACAGGAAGGCTAGAAGGACTTCTTTTAGGGTTTGTGGACCCATTTCCAATGTGGGGAGTTCCCTCCCACACAATACCAAGCAATTTTCTGACATCCATAGGGTGTCTGGGAATTTAACTCAATTTTGATACTGTCTACCTGGAGATAGCATTGGATTCCAGAGGTTAAGGGCTCAGTCCTACCAGACTGCCGCCACCCTCTCACTTCACGTGCCAGTCAACAAGCCCCAGGCTGTTACTTGTGCTTCTGACCAACTGGCTACAGATTAGAGGTTCCAAAGACGACCTCCTTAGGTTTGATGAAGTCAGGGAAACACGTAGGTTTACCCCTTTACTAAAAGATACGAATCCATAGTGAGTTGAAGAGTGACATAGAGCGACGTCCCCAACAAAGGAGCTTCTGACCTTGTGGCAGTTGGGGCCTGGCTCAGTGGCACATGGAAGCCCATTCCCCATGTGGAAGATGAGAGAGAACTGGAGTCAATATTCCCTTTCCCCCAGTTTGGCTAGGCTCTGATCAACCCTCAGCCCGTTGGGCTCTGGTTCAGTAATTCCTTTTGAGAATACACTTTGTTAAGAATAGTAAACTCTGGCCTATTTCAGATGGTTTCTTTTCTTCAGCCAGAGACTCCAAGCGACCCTCCTGCAGATGCCAGTGGGTCTCTGTCAGTCAGCTCTGTCTCCAGTATTTTACACCACAGATGGTAGTTATGCTTGACCTCTGAATTTCTGGTTCTGTCTCCTCAACTTACTGAGACCTCCTCTGGTTCTGCTATGTGGCCTGAAACTCCATTTTTCCTTTTTCCTGGGATCCTTGCCCTGCAGTGCGTGTCATCTGCTGCTGTTTCATCATGGCATGAAGTGGAAAGCCCATGCAGTCCCTTTGTAAAGCCTAAAGCATGTAGATCCCTGTTGAGTTCAGTGTCATGTATGCTTATGATTTAGCTCAAGGAGTTTAATACTTTTGAGCATCAGAAAATAAATGTTTTTGTTGTCAACTCTGCAAAGAAAGCTTCAAATGAGCATCTTTGTTGTGCCGTCCCTGAAAATGTGTCTTCTTTCACGTTCAGAATCCTAGAAGCCCATGCAACAGGCCCAAGTCTTAAATTATTTCCCATTTACAGGGTATTGCTATACAAAACCAGAAGTGATCTTAAGGTTGGAGCAAGCAGAAGATCCATGCTTGTTAGAGAAAGAATTTCTAATCAGGAGATCCTCAGGTGAGTTATTAAGTACTGGTAGAAAGTATTCCGGGTAAATTAGATCCAAAGTAGTCAGTTAGAGATGTCTACTGTGAAATAATTTCAACACTCTTTTATAGAGCCCCTATCCATGTGGATGTTGAGGAAGACTGTATCATGTCCAGTAGTATATGGAAGGAGAAGGTCTGACACAAGGGATGGATGCAATCTTGATCATTTTCTCATCTTTAAGAGCTGGGAGCCTGAGTGTATATCACTTAAAATTGACAAATCAAGTAATAGAGTTATACTGAACAGTAAAAAAAATAAATAATAAAAAAATAAAAACTAAGAAATGAAAGCATGGAAGACTGGAGGTTAATGAATGGGAAGAGAGAGAAGAAACTAATGTTATTATTGATTATGTGTTAGGGAATTACTAGATACTGTCTTACTAGATAGATGATTAAGGAACTACGTAAGATTATAAAGATAACCATGAGGGGCAAAATACACCCTTCATAATTATTAGAAGAAAAATTCACTTAATAAAACAAACATGCCTGTTACTGAATGCGTTTTTTTATAAAGGCTTTGTTAAGCACACTGTACAATTAAGAGAAACCTAGCTGCCATAGCAAGTAATGAAAATGGGTTAAAGCCAACTATTGTGAAAATACATTATCAGATTTTATCAGGGATAGACCTGAGGGGTGATTTGGAAAGTTTGATATTAACAAATGGTAAAGTGTTTGCCAAAACAAAAAGTGTATGCTGGGATCATGCATCTTAATTCTGGTCAAGATTGAATTCAGGTTAAAAACCATGAAATGAGGAAAAAGGTACTTTTATCATGTTAAAGAAGACAATAAAGAGATTATCAAGATTCACTCCAAACAAAACAAAACTAAGAGATATAAAGTGATCTTGAAACACATTAGGTGCCAGGGTGGCTAGTCAGTTAGCATCTGACTCTTGATTTCAGCCCAGGGCACGATCTCAGGGTCATGGGATCGAGCCCCGCATTGGGCTCCACTCTCAGCGAGGAGTCTGAGTGAGATTCTCTGATTCTCCCTCTCCCTTTGCCCTTCCCCCCACTCATGCTCACTCAGGTGTACTGCACCTCTCTCTCTAAAAATAATAATAATAATAATGAAACACATTAGACATGGTAGCCACAGTGTATCCTCTGATTTGTTACAGATCCACTGGAAAACAGCTGGGGCGGTGGAACATAGAAATAATACATTTTACAAGAAACTAAGATACAATTATAAGCGTTTGTCAGACTCTGAAAACAAAGAACAAACCCTTTAACTGCCCTTTAATTGCCAGCGGAAGAGTCACAAAATATGAAAGAACTTTAGGTAAAAAGGAAACATCATTAAATTTCAAAACAATAGAAAAACCAAAGTTCAACAAAACTAGAAATTGCAAACAATATAGGGAAATTGAAACCTCCTTCTGGGAGTTAAGAACCTGTTGGCATGAGATCTGAAATTGCAGTATATCCAGAAAACTGTAACAATGGAAAGCATGGTATCAGAACCTCTGGGCTTCAGGTAAAGCACCGCTTACAGGAAAATTTGTATTCTGACATACTTATTTTAAAAAACAAAGTTTAAAAAAGACTAAGCAGGATGCCTGGGTGGCTCAGTTGGTTAAGCGTCTGCCTTCGGCTCAGGTCATGATCTCAGGGTCCTGGGATCGAGCCCCACATGGGGTTCCCTGGTCAGTGGGAAGTCTGCTTCTCCCTCTGCCTGCCGCTTCCCCCACTTGTGCTCACTCTCTCTCAAATAAAATCTTAAAAAAAAAAAAAAAAGACTAAGCAAAGCAGAAGAAATAATTTAATGAAGATAAAAGTAGAAACCAGTGAGTTGGAAAACTACAGAGGTGTAAGTCATAACTAGCCAAAAGGTGTTTCTCGGACAGTCCTTTCTAAGAAGTAACTACACAGACATACCTAGCAATAGAAAAGGGTGAACATTTAGAAATATATGTAAGACAGAAACTTGAAAAATCATGAGAGCTATTGAATAGACTTTAATTAGAAAGATAATTCCATGTTCACAGATTGGGTAAACAATTTTAAAACTCTTAATAATACTCTCAGTATATGTAAAGATGTAGTATAATACCAAGTGATCTCATTTGATTTCTGTTTGTTTTTGTAAAACTTGGCAAGCTGATTCTAAAATTTATGTGGAAATTAAATAAATACATACATACATAAGTAAAAATAAAATTTATATAGGAATAACAAAGGCCCAGTAATAATTTAAAACATCTTTGAAAAACAATGTTGTGGAACTTTCTCTGCCTGGTATTGAATGAAACTCTTGTCAATACAATTAATTGTACTCATTAATTGTACTCATGTAACTATAATTAAACAAGTCATTGAAATATAATAGCCCAGGAATGAACACGTTTTAAACACTTGACTTCTTGTACCCCTACTTTATACACACAGCAGAAATCAATTTGGGGTGGAATTGTATAAGGTGAAACAAAATATTTTAGAAAATCATATAGGAGAAAATCTTTCTCACTGTGGGTGGGGAAAAACAAAAGAACAAAATCACTTAGCCATGTAGGAAAAATTTGATAAATTTGCGTTAAAATTCACAATTTCTAGATGTTAAAGGATTATATAAAGACTATGAAAAGACAGGTCACAGAATAGCAGGTCACAGAATCTTTTTGCAGTGCATGTAAGCAAGGTAAAACTGGGACCTACAATCATAAAGTGCTTCTGCAAGTCTGAGGAAAAAGGCAGGTAGCTTAGTGAAAAATTGGGCAAAAGACTTAATCAGAACCTTCCCCCAAAAGGAAACTTAGTTACCCAGCAAACATGGGAAGAAGTGTTTAATCTGATTAGTTTTGAGAGAAATATGAAGACGGTATCATATTACCACTCTACATTTATGAAATTGGCAGAGAATAAGAACTCTGACCACATCGAGGGGTGGGGAGCATTCAAGACCTGCATCCACTGGTTATGGAAATGTAAACTAGAGCAACTGCTTTTGAAAATGGTGGGCTTCATATGGTAAATGTAAACAAGCCAAACGCCCATCAACAGATGAGTGCAGAAGTAAAATACATTTATTTGATGGAGTGTTACACATCAGAGATAATGTACTAACTTATAAACTACAGCAAAATCATAGGGGAATCTTGCACACAATATTGAACAAAAGAGCAAAACAAAAATGATTACAGCAAGCTATAGGATTCAATTTTTATAAAGCAGCTGGTAAAATTAAATTGTGTGCTTTTAGGGATATATGCACAGTCTGTAAACTCTTAAAGTCAGGAAGGTATTGCTGTGAATTTTGCAAGTGATGGGATGTGTAAGCATGAAGAGTCTTGCTCCAGAAACAATATGTGGGTCTTCCCTGATGGGGTCCTGCTCTGCTCTTGGATGTGGATGGTGACTCCAAAGATGTTCATTCTATGTTATATCTTAAACTACACAGAAGAATTTTGTGGTTTCAGAGAGTTTGACGGTTACAAGATAAACCATGGGAGATAATACTTGCTACAAATATCTGTCACAAAGGGTTTGCTTCAATAAATAAAGGATCCAGGACTTGTCTCTTCAGTACAGCGGCCCATGACGGTGCTGAACTCAGGCAGTCCATTTCTGCCCCTTTTTTCCTTCAAAGCACTCATTTTCTAAAACACTGTATATCAAGTATGTATTACATTTTGTTTACCGTCTGCCTGTTTCTACTGGAGCAAATGCTTTCCGAGAAGGGGTTTTGGGGGGGGGGGGGTTTGGTTTTTTTTACTGTTTTGCTCACTGGCTCATCTCCTGGTATGTAATTTGGCATTCAGATAGACTTACGTTATTGAACTTCTAAGAAGTGCGAATATAAAGTCCAGACAATTCATTAGAAAGAAAGGACAAACAGGGTGTAAGAATGGCTAATAAACATGAAAAATACGTAACATTATTGGCGGTCTCAGGAATGCAAATTCAGACCACAGTACAATGATTTTGGACTCATTCCATTAGTACCAAGAATAATTAAGAGATAATGCAAGAGAAATGTCCACAAGGCAGGCAGTGGTGTAAATTGGCACAATTACTGGGAAAAGTTTTAGCGTATTCATAAAGTTGAGCATGCGCATTCCCTAGGACAGCTATCCATTCCAGGTTTATTCTCCGGAAAGACTTGAATATGTTTAGCAGAAGACATGAATCAGATTTTCCATGGCATCAAGACTTCTAAAAGTACAAACCTAGAAATAACTTCCGTATTTATTTATGAAAAAACTTAAAGGTATTTTCAGACAGTAGACCATTATATAGCCGTAATGTGTAATGTGGATGGATCTAAGAAACCTGGCATGAAGAAGCACATTTCAAAAATCTACATAAAGGAAGATACCATATTAATAATACTTGGACACAGTAAAAACTAAATGTGTGTGTATGTGTGTGTGTGTTCTACCAAGAAGAATATTCTTTCTTACTTTTCCTAGTCTGGAATGTAATATATGATATTTCTGGAATGTAATATATGATATTTTGTAATTACATTGTGATTGACACTAATGCTTTTGAGGGGAAAAGTATTCCATATTGGATGCAAATGCCCTAGTCAGATTTCTGTGACTTGTGAGTTAACCGGTATACATTGGCAGTATGTCTGAGCTGATGTGTCACAGAGAGGACTAGGTAGCTCCAGGCACACTGTATTTCAAGGACCCTTCTCTGTATCCTGGAGTGGTGCAAGGAAAATCAGAGAATCTGTGTTCTGTTTCAGATAAAGGAAAGCAAAACTGCACAAAATATATTTCATAGCATTTAAAATACCATCAGTTAAAAGATAAAATAGATCTGGCTAGGAAAGAGAAAACGGATGTGATGTCATCAATTTTAAGATGCACTGTGATTGCAATGATAGTAATTTACTTGAAAAAATTGTGTGCCCATATATGTAACTGCTCTTCATGTATCCATTGTTCTATGAATGGAGTAGGCATAATTGCTTTCAGATTTAAAGTAAATGGTGCTTAAATTCATGGAGAGATGTAAGAAGGCATTTTTTTTTTTAACTTGAGGAAATAGTCTTGCCCTGAAGATTATGTAGAATTTGAGCTAAAAAAGAAAGAATATAGGGCAAGATTTTTTTGGAATGACTCATTTAAGGGGTGTCAAATAGTCTGGCCAGACTATACCCCAAAAATACGGTGGACCTCTGTAATGCTAGCTTGAAAAGCTAATGTTCCAGAATTGGTGTAAGACGTTGTTTTCCAGATGACTCTTATCTGATGGAACCTGGGGCAGTGGTTTTAGGGACCACGTTAAATTTCCAGCATAGGCCTGAAATTGTTGCTGGAATGTGGGTAGCCACTACGTAATAGCAGTCAAGCATACCAAAGATAGAAGTAAAGGCTTTTCTGTTAAATGAATATAAAGAATATCTAAAGTTTCTAGAAGCAGGATGAAACATAGTCCTTAAGGTTCTAGAAGCCAGTAGAAACTATGTATGTTGACCCATAGATGGAATGCTGACTTATGGATTACTTGGGGATGGATTTGTTGCAAGAGAGTAGGCATGATAAAACTGTGGAAAGAGCCAAGATGTCCATCAACAGATGAATGGATAAAGAAGAGGTGGTATATATACACAATGGAATATTATGCAGCCATCAAAAGGAATGAGATCTTGCCATTTGCAACGACGTGGATGGAACTGGAGGGTATTATGTTGAGCGAAATAAGTCAAACAGAGAAAGACATGTATCATATGACCTCACTGATATGAGGATTCTTAATCGCAGGAAACAAACTGAGGGTTGCTGGAGTGGGGGGTGGGGTGGGAGGGATGGGGTGACTGGGTGATAGACACTGGGGAGGTATGTGCTCTGGTAAGTGCTGTGAATTGTGCAAGACTGTTGAATCTCAGATCTGTACCTCTGAAACAAATAATGCAATATATGTTAAGAAAAAAAAAAGAAGAAGGTAGCAGGAGGGGAAGAATGAAGGGGGAGAATGAGGGGTAGACAAACCATGAGAGATGATGGACTCTGAAAAACAAACTGAGGGTTCTAGAGGGGAGGGGGGTGGGAGGATGGGTTAGCCTGGTGATGGGTATTGAGGAGGGCACATTCTGCATGGAGCACTGGGTGTTATGCACAAACAATGAATCATGGAACACTACATCTAAAACTAATGATGTAATGTATGGGGATTAACATAAGAATAAAAAAATTAAAAAAAAAAGAGTAGGCATGATAGAAAACTTACAATGTGATGGTCAGGAGAGTATTGTTATTGAACAACCCTGATACAATATACCAAGGCCCCAGAGCCAACATAGAGCAGGGATCTCAGCCAAGGCTGAGAGATGGCTCTTCTCATTAGTGCATTTCATTGCCTGTGAATAACAACTAGGAGAGTTTGAGTTTGAGGTATAGGCCTGTTTTTTCAATTGGAAGGAAATTGTGCTATTTTAAATGTATTTGGTGTTGATGTGTAAACTAGGGGGGAAAAAGAAAGAAAGAAAGCTTCAAATAGAAATATGGAGACTAATGAGTTTCCTGCGCTGTAATCTGTATTTGGCAGTGTAAGAACATAGACCCAGATATTCATCCCTGATCCTACCCTCTCTCTTACGTATACCATGAAAGCATTACCCACTGATAGTCCTGCCCATACTTACTGCCCATAATCTTTGTTGAATTTATCTTATTCTTAGATGTTTCCAGTTCCCGAACTCATTGTACCTTCCTGTACTTCCTTTCTATGTAATTTTGAAAATCACATTTTTTAAATGTCATATGTATGTATGTATTCATTGCCGGTTTGTTTTCTTTTTTTTTTCCACTCCAGCAATTTCTTTTCAAATGAAACCAATGTAGGGGATATATCTTTCAAATTAATCAATCTTGTGTGATAGGACTAGAACCAAAGAGTCAAAATACATAACAGACTATACGTATATGGGCTGCTTCCCATAAGAAATGGGTCTTAAGATTCATAAGGTATTTTTAATTTTCTCATTTTTAGAAGACTGCCAACATGATAACCTCGTAGAGAAGAGCCAAGAAGTCCAAGACAGACATTTGTGGCAAGTTTCATTTGCTCCTTTTCAGAGAACTGACACAGGAGGGCAAAGTTTCAACCAGGAGTCACGCTTAAGAGTAAACCAGGGAAATCACGCAGACGTGACACCCTTTGAATGTGGACAAAACTTCAGCCATAATTCAACTCACACAACAGAGAAATTCTGTGATCATAATATATGCAGGGGAACCCTCAGCCACCAGTCAGCCTGCAGTGTATGAGTGTATGTCAGAGGACTCACACAAGGTTGAAACCGTATGAGTGTAGTGAATGTGGAAAATCCTTCCGTAAAAAATTGTGCCTCCTTATGCACCAGAGAATTCACACAGGGGAGAAACCTTACAAATGTAACGAATGTGGGAAGGATTTCAGCCACAAGTCAGACGTATGGAAACATGAAATAACTCACACAAGGGAGAGACCTTATGAGTGTGTTGAATGTGGGAAAACTTTCAGCTGGAAGTTAGGCCTGAGACTACATCAGAGAACTCATACAGGGGAGAAACCCTATGAATGTAGTGAATGTGGAAAAACATTTGTCCAGCAGTCAGCTCTCAAAACACATCAGACCATTCACAAAGGGGAGAAGCCTTATGAATATAATGAGTGTGGGAAAACCTTTGCCCAGAATTCAACCCTCAAAAAACACCAGACAATTCACACAAGGGAGAAGTCCTATGAATGTAAGGAATGTGAAAAAGCCTTCAACCAGAAGTCAAGCCTAGGAATGCACCAGAGAATTCACATGGAGAGAAACCATACGAATGTAATGAGTGTGGGAAGGCTTTCAGTCAGAAGTCAAGCCTAGGAAAACACCAGAGAACTCACACAGGGGAGAAGCCCTATGAATGTAATGAATGTGGGAAGGCTTTCACTGCAAAGTCAGGCCTAAGAGTACATCAAAGGGTTCACACAGGAGAGAAACCCTATGAGTGTAATGAATATGGGAAAGCTTTTAGCAAGAAATCTAGCTTAAGGTTACACCAGAGAACTTACACAGGGGAAAAAACCCTATGAATGTAATGAGTATGGCACTTCACCTATAAATAAATCCTCAGAGGACTTCAGGAAACTCATAAAAGGGAAAAACTCTCTAAATATACAAATGTGAGAAAGCTTTTAGTGAGAAATCTGGCTTAAGGTTACACCAGAGAACTCCTACAGGAGTTCTGTGAACGTAATGAGCATGGCAGAGCCTTCGCCTATAGATCAGTCCTCAGAGGACATCGGGGAACTCATAAAGGGGAAGATCTTTATTAATGGGATAAATGTGGGAAAGCTCTCAGTCGTAAATCAGGCTTAAGAAACCCTCAGGGGATTCACACAGTGAAAAGGAACCCTATGAATGTAAGGAATGTGGAAAAACTTAGATCTTGAAGTCAAACCTCAGAGATCACACACAGGAAAGCCTTATGTGAACATACTAAGCAAAGGAAATCATTGATTGCAAATCCAATACGCAAGAGAATTATAGCTGTTCTGTGTTACAGACTTCAGACTGTTTTCCTGTAAGTTTTCCAGGGCCGGCCATTTGCGTGAATATTTGCCCAGCTTGGCCTGCCCCTGCTCATGTATGTGTACGCCTGGCCCCACAAAACCTCTGACATGTGTTTGCTAATACAAGAATGCTTTTTGAGACATTCTAGAGAGTATGTGTAAACATCAGCCCTCCCTGGATCCTAGAACCCCGATAGAGAACTAGGAGTTCAGTGGGTCCGTGCAAACCTGTAGTCCCAGGTTGGAATCTTGACTTAGCTACCTTCTGGGCCAGTGATCTCCTCTCCCTGAGTCTCCGTTCCCTCATTTGTGAAATGTAACAGCCGCTCCCGCCTTGCGTGGTAGTGGTAAGGATTAAGGTGCACGTGGTGGAAACAAAGCAATGTCAGTTCCCTTCTGTGTTCAGATAATGCACACCTCCCAAGAGATGCTTACGGATAAAATTGGGGGTTTAAAGAAGAGGCAGGAGTGTGGAGATGACAGGAACTCGAAGGGAAAGGGAGAGATCTGAAGGAGGGATGGCATCCGAGCAAGAGGAATCCCTGCAGTGCTCTGAGCTCCTGGCTCCTTGGCCCTTTTCCAGGACAGTCCAGATATAGCCCCCTGGTGTTCACAGATGCAGGCTCCGGGCCACAGCAACCGTCTCGAGATGTGTGTGGACTGGAAATGGGCGAAAGTGGGAGTTCTGTTGCCAGAGCACATTTGGGGACCCTAAGGATTTGGGTGAAGTCTGGGTTTCTCGACCAAGCCTTCCTTGCAGTTTCTTTATAATCTTTAAAATATGTAAAGGCTAACTATATCATTCGATTTTTACTTAAAGCAACTCATAGTTTGATTTACAAATGCATTTCTCTTTAAAAGAAAAGTTTGTATTAGTAACACTAAATGAAACCAGTTTATAACTTGCCATCTATAGAAACTAATTGAAAAAAAATGTACAAAAACAGAACAGCAATTTAAAACTTGTGAATGTATGATCTAATCAGTTTTTTTGTTGTTGTTGTTATGTTAGTCACCATACAGTACTTCATTGGCTTTTGTTGTAGTGTCCCGTGATTCATTATTTGCGTATACACCCAGTGCTCATTAAAAATCATCTCTAACATTAGAAAAATGACTTGAAGGAACCTCCTACGTGTAGGAAAGACTATCAGCTCTTGGGGTCTTTCAGTCACTAAAATATCTCACTGTCTCAGGGTTCAAAGGGCTGATGTGGCCTAAGCTAATTTCCATAAGGTGGAAGGAAGGATGCAGCTCAAACCAGTTGTGATGGAGACACAAAAAATTGAAGTGTACAGTTTCTAGATTACAGGAATGATCACAAGCAAAGAACTATTGCAGATCAGCACTCATTCACCTATCAAAGCAAGTGATTTTCCCATGTTTAGAAGTGGAGTTTGGGATACCTAGTTTGTTTGGAATGGCCTCAGCACCATTTCAGAAAGTCTGAGGAAAACATGCTCATGGTTGGTTTTAGGGGCCCAAATATGGCACCTGGCTCCGGCCCCCTGCCATGTTATGGACAAATCAAGTGCTGAGGAAGAAGAAAGGTGTAATTCTTTCACACAGTCTCGCCCTTTCCGTTCCCAGCACCAGAGCTGTAGTTCAGACTCTTCTTTCTAAGACACTGAAATGTTGCACATGAAGAGAGAATGTGGGAAACATGCCACGTTGTGGAGTATAATGGAATGTGTATCTACGAACCCACCCCCTAACAGGAGTAATAGTATTGGTCATGATGGTGTATCCACTGGTATACTTACCCTACGGGCTAATTCCAAATTGTGTGCACTCGTGTGTGTGTCAGTGATTTGCCTTTTAAAAAATAGTATTATGAATTATGAATCTGTAAACAGTAATTGTTCGGTTCTACTGATTTCGAGATTAATTAGAATGGTCATATGTCCTGCGTTTTTTGATTCAATGTTACATACCTAACATTCGTACATATCGATTTATATGGTTGTGCTTCATTCAGTTTCATTTATGTATAGCTTGATATTAAAATGTATTCATTCGTGGTTTTGCGTAGGTATTTTGGAATAGAGAAATGTATTTCTAAATTCTAACTTCTTGAAGGAAGAGAAAAAAGAAATGGAAAGGTTGGGTTGCAGTCTCATGCCAGGATGTTGATAGGAAACTTTCTGATTCAGTTTACCTGGGCTGCAGGATCTCAGCTGAAACTGTCCCATAGTCTAAAAGATGGTGTACAGTTACCAAGCAAGACTTGCAAAGAAGTGTCCAAAAGCTACTCTGTGACTCATAAGTTCAGAAAACATGATTGGATAGTTATGAAGTGTTTTCTTCTTGATATTTGTTGGTAACTTTTTAAAACTTTTTACTAAGGTAAAGTATGCATAACATAAAATTTACCATTTTAATTATTTTTGAAGTATCTTTTCAGTGGCATTAAATACATTCACAGTGTTGTGCAACCATTTACCACCATTCATCTCCAGAACTTCCTTCATCTTCCCAAATTGAAATTCCGTATCCATTAAACACTAACTCCCCAGTCTATCCTACTTCCAGCACCTGGCAGACACCATACTTCTGTCTTTACCAATTTGACTAGTGTATATACATCGTATACATGGACTCATGCAGTATTTGTCCCCGCGTGGCTGACTTATTTTACTTAGCAAAATGTCTTCAGGGTTCATCACTGTGTGTAAGAATTTCCTTCATTTTTAAAGCTGAATAATATCCCATTGTGTGTATATACCAGATTTTGTTTATCCATTTATCTGTCTGTGGGCACTTGGATTGCATCTACCATTTGGATATTGTGGATATTGCTGCTGTTAACATGGATGTATGAATAATTCTTCAAGATCCTGCTTTCAGTTCTTTTGAGTGCATACCTGGAGGTAGAATTTCTGCATCATACAGTAATTCAATTTTTAGTGTATTGAGGAACATTGCACCATTTTCCATAGCATCTGCATAGCATTTTACATTCCCACTAGCAGTGCACAAGGGTTTTGATTTTCTTCACAGTCTCCCTGATGTTGTTATTTTCTGTTACTTTGATAATAGCTATACTAATCCTAATGATTAGTGATACTGAACATCTTTTCTTGTCCTTATTGACATTTGACTATCTTCTTTGGAGGACTGTGTAATGAAGTTTTTTACCCATTTTTTAATCAGGTGGTTTGTTTTATTGTTGTTAAATTGTAGTTCTTTATATATTCAGGACATCACTCTCCTGATGGATATATGGTTTCCAGATATTTCCCCAGTTTTGTGGCTTGCCTGTCTATTCATTCTGTCGATAGACTCTTTCACATATTTCAGTTTATTTTTTTTCTTTTGTTACCTGTGCTTTGGGCATATTCAATAAATCATTGCCAAATCTAATGTCATGAAGCCTTTCCCCTATGTTTTCTTCAAAGAGTTTTAAAGTTTTAGCTCTTACGTATAGATATCTGATTGATTAATTTTTTAAATATGGTGTACAGTTAGGGTCCAACTTCATTCTTCTGCATGTGGATATCCAGTTTTCCCAACAGTATTTGTTGGAAAGACTGTCCTCTCCCCACTGAATGCTCTTGGCACCCTTGTAACAATCATTTCACCTTATACATTGAGGGTTTATTTCTGGTTTACTCCATTGATCTATATGTCTGTCATTTTGCCATTACCACACTATTTTGATTACTGTGGCTTTTTTTTTTAACATTTTATTTATTTATTTGAGAGAGAATGAGAGAGAGCACATGAGAGTGGGGAGGGACAGAGGAAGAAGCGGACTCCCCGCCGAGCAGGGAGCCCGATGCGGGACTCGATCCTGGGACTCCAGGATCATGACCTGAGCCGAAGGCAGTCGCTTAACCACCTGAGCCACCCAGGCGCCCGATTACTGTGGCTTTGAGTAACAAATACGAAATCTGTAGATTGCTTTAGGTAGTATATCTTAGCAGTATTAATTCCTGTAATCCATGAACATAGAATCTTTTCTCATTTATTTGTGTCTTCAGTTCCTTTCATCAAAGTCTAATAGTTTTCATTGTACAGATGCTTTATCATCGAGGTTAAATTTTGTCCTAAGAATTTTCTTGGTTTTGATGCTATTGTAAATAGCACCGTGTTCTTAATTCTCTTTCTGGTTGTTAATTGATGTCTAGAAATACAGCTGCTACTTCCATGTTGATTTTGTGTCCTGCAACTGTACTAAATCCATTTATTCATTTTAACAGGTTTTTGGTGGATTTTTTGTAGGGTTTTATATTTAAGATCACATAATCTGCACACAGTTTACTTCTTCCTTTTGGATTTGGATGGCTTTTATTTCTTTTACCTGCCTTAATGCTTTGGGTAAGACTTCCAGGACTATGTTGAATAGAAGTGGGCACCCTTGTCTTGTACCTCATCGTAGAGGAAAATCATTCAGCTTTTCACCATTAAGTATAATGTTAGTTGTGGGCTTGCCAAATATGGCCTTTATTAAGTTGAGTTACTTTCCTTCTGTTTCTGCTTTATTGAGCCATTTGTCATGAAAGGATGTTGAATTTTGCCAAATGCTTTTTCTGCCTCTATTGAGATGATTGTATGTTTTATCTTTCATTCTATTAATGTAGCGTATTGCATCTATTGATTTCCATGTGTTGAACCACCTTACATCCCAGAGATAAATTCCCCCTTGATCATGGTGTATGTTCTTTTACTATGCCTTTGAATTCAGTTTGCTAGTATTTTGTTGAGGGTTTTTACATCTGTGTTTATCATGGATATTGGCCTGTAATTTTCTTTTCTGGTAGCGTCCTTTATTATTTCTTCTTTGACCCATGGTTTGTTCAAGAGGGTGTTCAATTTCCATATATTTGTGACTTTCCATTTGTGACTTTTGGTTTTGGTATGAAGGTAATGCTCACCTCATAAACTGAGTTTGGGAGTCTTCCCTTATCTTCAGTTTTTTGGAAGAGTTTATGAACAGCTAGCATTAGTTTTTCTTTAAATGTTTGGTAGAATGCACTGGTGAAGCTATCTAGTCTTATATTTTTCTTTGTTGGAAGGATTTTGATTATTGCTTCAATCTCACTCATTTTTGGCCTATTGAGATTTTCTTTCTCATAACTCAGTCTTGTTGGATTGTATGATTCTAGGAATTTACCCATTTCTTCTAGGTTATCCAATTTGTTGGTTATTGCTAATAGTTGTCTCCTATGATTCTTTTTATTTCTGTGGTATTAGTTGTAATGTGCCCTCTTTCATTTATAATTTTGTTTATATGAGTCCTTGTTTTTTCTTGGTTAGTCTAAATATTTGTCAGTTTCATCTTTTTAAAACTAGCTCAGTTTTATTGACCTTTTTAAAAAAATTTTTAAGATTTTATTTATTAGAGAAAGAGCACGAGCAGGGAAGGGGGGAACCAGAAGGGGCAGAGGGACAAGCAGACTCCCCACTGAGTGTGGAGCCCACCATGGGGCTCGATCCCAGGACCCCGGGATCATGGCCTGAGCCAAAGGCGGATGCTTAACCAACTGAACCACCCAGGCGTCCCTAAAGTTGTTTTTCTAGTCCCTATTTGATATATTTCTGCTGATTTTTATTATTTACTGCTGCTAGCTTTGGGCTTAGTTTTTTTTCTTCTTTTTCTAGTTCTTTGACCTATAAAGTTTAATTGTATATTTTTCTTTTTTTGTGATTTAGACATTTATCAGTATAAACTCTTCCTTAGAATTCTTTTTTCTTTATTATTTCTTCTTTGACCCGTTGCTTAAGAGTGTGTTCAATTTCCATATATTTGTGACTTTCCAGCATTCTTCCTATTACTCATTTCTAGATTCATACCATTGTGGTTGGAAAACATAATTTGATATGAATTCTTTTTTTTTTTAAAGATTTTATTTATTTATTTGACAGAGAGAGACATAGAGCAGGAACACAAGCAGGGGGAGTAGGAGAGGGAGAAGCAGGCCTCCCGCGGAGCAGGGAGCCTGATATGGGACTCGATCCCAGGACCCTGGGATAATGACCTGAGCCGAAGGCAGACGCTTAACGACTGAGCCACCGGGGCGCCTGATATGAATTCTTTTTAAAGTTGTTACTAACTTGTTTTGTAACTATCCTGGAGAGTGTTCTGTGTGCACTTGAGAAGAAGGTGTATTCTGCAACCATTGGATGGAATATTTCCCGTATATGTCTGTTAGGTCCATTTGCTCTGTAGTGTTATTCAAGTCCAGTGTATCATTTATTTTCTTTTCAGATGATCTATCCTCTGATATAAGTATGATACAGAAATACACTACTATTATTATATTGCTGTCTATTTCTTTCACTCTTGTTAATATTTGTTTTATATAATTAGATGCTCCTATGTTAAGCACATATATACTTACAATTGTTATATTCTCTTAATGAGTTGACCTTTTATCTTTATAATAGTGGTTTACTTCTGGCCACATGGACCGGTGTGTCTCCTGTTAGGTCCCTCGTTTTACAGTTTCCCACTGGATCCCAAAACTACAAAGGCACTTTTGTACTTTGATGGCTGCCAAATTATTGTTAATGAGGGGTGATAGGCTAGAGGACCTCCTATTCTGCCATCTTACTGATGTGTGTCTTCATTTGGGAATTCTTCTGGTAGTAAATTTTGAAATAAGGTAGTGAGAGACTTCAGCTTTGTTCTTCTTTAAGATTGTTCTATCTTCAGGGTCTCAGGAGATCTGTACAAATTTTATAAGGTTTTCTATTTCTTTTTTTTTTTTTAGATTCTATTTATTTATTTGTGAGGGAGAGCACAAGCAGGGTAGAGGGGCAGAGGAAGAAGGAAAAGTAGACTCCCTGCTGAGCAGGGAGCCCAACGCGGGCTGGATCCCAGGACCCTAAGATCATGACCTGAGCCGAAGGCAGACACTTAACTGACTGAACCACCCAGGCACCCCTCTATTTCTTTTTTTAAATTGCCTTTGGGATTTTGACAGGGACTGCATTAAATCTGTATATCTGCTTTGGGTAGTGTGACATATTAACAATTTTCAGTCTTCCATTGCATGAACACGGATTTTTTTTTAATTTTTTATTGTTATGTTAATCACCATACATTACATCATTAGTTTTTGATGTAGTGTTCCATGATGCATTGTTTGTGCATAACACCCAGTGCTCCATGCAGAACGTGCCCTCTTTAATACCCATCACCAGGCTAACCCATCCTCCCAACCCCCTCCCCTCTAGAACCCTCAGTTTGTTTTTCAGAGTCCATCGTCTCTCATGGTTCGTCTCCCGCTCCGATTTTCCCCCCTTCTATCCCCTCCTGCTATCTTCTTTTTTTTTTCCTTAACATATATTGCATTATTTGTTTCAGAGGTACAGATCTGTGATTCAACAGTCTTGCACAATTCACAGCGCTCACCATAGCACATATCCTCCCCAATGTCTATCATCCAGCCACCCCATCCCTCCCACCACCACCCCCACTCCAGCAACTCTCAGTTTGTTTCCTGCGATTAAGAATTCCTCTTATCAGTGAGGTCACATGATACATGTCTTTCTCTGATTGACTTATTTCGCTCAGCACAACACCCTCCAGTTCCATCCACATCATTGCAAACGGCAAGATCTCATTCCTTTTGATGGCTGCATAATATTCCATTGTATATATATACCCCACTTCTTCTTTATCCATTCATCTGTCAATGGACATCTTGGCTTTCCACAGTTTGGCTATTGTGGACATTGCTGCTATAAACATCGGGGTGCATGTACCCCTTCGGATCCCTACATTTGTATCTTTGGGGTAAATACCCAGTAGTGCAGTTGCTGGATCATATGGTACCTCTATTTTCAACTGTTTGAGGAACCTCCATACTGTTTTCCAGAGTGGCTGCACCAGCTTTCATTCCCATCAACAGTGTAGGAGGGTTCCCCTTTCTCCACATCCCCACCAACATCTGTCATTTCCTGACTTGTTAATTTTAGCCATTCTGACTGGTGTGAGGTGGTATCTCATTGAGGTTTTGATTTGGGTTTCCCTGATGCCAAGCAATGTTGAGCACTTTTTCATGTGTCTGTTGGCCATTTGGATGTCTTCTTTGGAAAAATGTCTGTTCATGTCTTCTGCCCATTTCTTGATTGGATTCTTTGTTCTTTGGGTGTTGAGTTTGATAAGTTCTTTATAGATTTTAGATACTAGCCCTTTATCTGATATGTCATTTGCAAATATCTTCTCCCATTCTGTCGGTTGTCTTTTGGTTTTGTTGACTGTTTCCTTTGCTTTGCAAAAGCTTTTTATCTTGATAAAGTCCCAATAGTTCATTTTTGCCCTTGCTTCCCTTGCCTTTGGTGATGTTTCTAGGAAGAAGTTGCTGCGGCTGAGGTTGAAGAGGTTGCTGCCTGTGTTCTCCTTTAGGATTTTGATGGACTCCTGTCTCACATTGAGGTCTTTCAACCATTTTGAGTCTATTGAACACGGATGTTTTTATTTGCATTTGTATCTTCTTTAATTTCTTACAGCAATGTTTTATAGTTT